CAGGGTGGAAGTCCACAAAGCCCTAAGAAATGGTAGGGAAGACATTTATGGGAGAAAGGATGTGGGTGTGGGCAAAAATGCAAGAAAGACAATGCTGTATATAAAATGAGTATTTCAGATTTATTAGAAATGAAAACTAAAGATGGGAGTTTTTTTTCTGTTCTTTCTTTTCCTTTTTTTCTCTCTTTCGGGGAATGTACTTGGAATGTAAATCAGTGAATTATTTGGATTCTTAAAACTGCTCTAAAAAGAATAACCTGATACAGGGCAAATTATATTTATGTGGGGGCTAGTTGGAGGCAGAAAATTACTTTAATTATCATTATAATATTATAATACTTCCAGTTTCTATCTCATGAAACACGTGTTAATCATTTTGAATAAAACATACCAAAATTATGCTAAATTCATGATCTTCAAAAATTTATGATCTAATAGGAATGTTAAAGATGGCAAAGAATTATCACAAATATTATTCTTCTGATTTTTCCCTTCTAAAATCAATTTTTGGGACCATTTGATGATGAGTTATTTCATACAAATACCCCCACATTGTCATGATCAATAGTAAACTCTATGGTGACTCCCAGCTTTCTGTTCCTGAATCCCAGGGCTTTGTTCCTTGTACAGCTCTTCCAGGAGGAACGCAGAACCCCGCATCATCACATGCAAATTCCAAATAGTAAGATGAAGGTACAAGAAAGGCGTGTGCCTCCAGGCCCAGGACTCTTCAGTTGTTCAAATTTACTCCATTGGCTACACTCTGCTGGCTTCAAGGAGAGTTGAAAAGCACGCAAAATTATGCAGGTGTTGCTACATCCATACTGGTCTATTTAATTAGAAGAGAAGAGTAGAATGAATGCCTCAGAGCCACCACGGCCACTCGTGGTATGCAGCCCATGAGAAGGGAGAACCCAGGAGAGGCATTTACGTGGGTTAAATAGGTAGGAGATGGTGATTTGCACGTGGAAAAGGCAGACACAAAGAGAATTCAGGATGATTTTCTGATTGCTGGCTGGGACCATTACACCTGGTGATGCAATTTATTACTACAGGGGACTTGGGAGTTTCAGTGTTGCACATGATGAATTTCATGTCACTGTGAGACACTGGTCACAAAC